ACCTGGTGGACTTTAGTGTGAACACATACCCATAGAAGTCTCACATACTCAGCGCTCAGTTGCTTTACTGCGACACCTGAAGTGCACCTGGTGCGGTCTGATCACTGTACAGAAGTTCTACGTGTAGCGCATCATGTATGCATCCAGATGTGCCGGCTTCGTTTTATAATCAACGATGGCATCATGACAACAGATGTGCAGCAGGTTGATCAAATAAACAACTGCCGAACAGGAGAAAGAATATGACGACTTATCAGGGTTACTGGGAAGAAAAGAAAAAAGTGGAGGATTTTGTTTCATTCCCAGTTTCAGTGATCAAGTCATAATGTTAAGACTCTTATTGTCCTAATTATTAGGAGTTATATGTATTTCTGGGCAGTTCCTACAACTGGGAAGCTTTTTTTTAATGTCCCAAGATATTTTACAGTCAACTAATGGAATTAAATCAAAGCAATCATTCATTTGTGACAGTTTTAGGCAACATTAATGCACATGCAGCATAAAGCCTGTGGGTGGCAGCCTCACACTGAGACAAAGGTCCAGAGACTCTTCCAATACACATTTGTTCAAACTATTTGAATGTTCAGCTGCAGCAGGGCACCTAAAGGTTTAACCAGAGAGGAATAGAAGTTGTGAGTTACCCAGATGGAAAATGGGCAAAAGCCTTTAACACAAGATCCCCAACAGTCTGAAGCACCTTCCTCCCAGAAAACAAGATACGAATAAAACTAAGTATCCCAGTACGTTTCTGCCATCATGATTTATTTTGAAAGGTTATTGAGTGGAAGCTATGGTCATGGGTGAGCTCAGTTTTACAGCATCAAGGCATTTCCCTCCACGTTTGATCCAGTAGATCAGTGAATACAAAGATCCCAACTAGCTAGATGAGCAGCAGGACACGTCTCTGGACTTGAGGTTTCCAGCTGCTGTTGTGAGTAAACTGTAATTCACTGCAAGTCCAAAGCATGTAGACATGATAATTTTATAAGCAAAAACACGAATCAGGCAGTAGTTCTAAATCATACAGCTGCAGCTGAGATTCATGCTCCTTGGGTCGTTTTCTGTTCTTAGACAGTTTGTTGTGCTGAAACTTGATCTATTCATTAGAGCTGAATAAGAACAAAAGAAGCCCACGTTGTAAGAAGCATGGATCACTGCAAGTTGGTCTAATGTTCGGAGCAGTGGCTGCTAGATGGA